GAAAAATCATGAACCATTTTGTGAACTTTAAGTCCACCCTTATTTATTTGTTGACATGCTACAGTTAATTTAACTTTTGGTTTGTCACTATTCCATATAAAAGTTGATATCATTTTATTTACTTCTTTTATAATCTCATTAGAAATTGGTAGTACAGTAGCTTGATAAATTACTTTAGGAATTGCTAGTGTTTTTGTAATCAAAATCCATCCTATCAGAGATAAGTTCCTCATTTTCCAAAGGTTGAGAGTTGCTTTAATGTCATCTACATGTAATTTGGAATTGAATTTTTTTACTAAAAGTTATGTTCCCCATGTACACTAAACCAGATTCCAAGTGTAAAGAATAAACCACTAGACCATTTTACTGGCAAGCTGCCTGGAGGATAATTCCTACAGCTAACAATCCATATGGCCTCTGTTTTATTAAGATTGATCTTTAAACCAGAACAGTATTTAAAATTTTGGATGATTCTCAATACTTCAAATCCTTATTTTTCATCACTTAAGAAACAAGTAGTGTCATCTGCTAGCTGACTGATTTTAAATTCTGTTTCACCAATTCTTATACCATGAATGTTTTTATTTGATCTAATTGCAATAGCCAATAATTCAACACATAACATAAATAAGTAAGGTGATAAAGGATATCCTTGTCTAACACCTCGAGTTATCTTAAAAAAGGAGGAGGAATATCCATTATTGATTAAGCAACTTGTTATATCTGAATATAAGATGCGTACCCATTGTCGCAGCCCTTTGCCAAATCCAAAAGTTTCTAAAACTTTATCTAATTATAACCATTCAACTGTATTAAAAGCTTTTTCAAAATCTACAAACAAAATAAGTCCAGGAATATTTTTGATACTTGTGTAATCAATAAGATCTGCGATAGTTCTAATATTTTCTCCTATACATGTATATCTATTTTCAATATAACCTGTTTGATCAACATCAACTACATGTATGTAAGGCAGTAGTTTTTTTAATTCTACTTGCGAGAACTGTTAATAACCTTTAACTAACAATTCTAGTGCAGCTAAAATAATATCTCTATAGTTAGATTTTCCTTCAGTAGTACCACCTTTTTTATCTAGTGATGGATTTAAAGTAATATTGAAATCCCCTCCAATGACTAGATTTTCAAAGCTATATGGTTCTATGTAGGCCAATAATGAATTGAAAAAATCCACATGACAATTTGGCTTATCCTTTGTTGGAGCATAACTATTAGTTAAAATAAAGTTGGTTTCATCTATCATTAAATTGACTTGTATAATTCGACCTTCATTATCTTGTACCTTTTCTTTAATAATATAATCTATATTATGAGGAAAAAGAATAGCTACTCCCCTGCTGTTGGATTCACCATGACTGAACTCTATATCAGACCCCCAATCCTTTAACCACTGACTTTCATTCTCTGAAGCTGAGTGCGTTTCTTGTAAAAATATAAAACTGTTTTAAAGGAATTCTTTAGCCATGTAAAAATACCGAGTCCCTTAATTTTTGCGCCGAGCCCTCTTACATTAAGTGAAATACACGATAACTCAAACGACATCAAAATTGAACAATTCTACATGAACGTTACCAACTGCACTGCTACGATTGTGTGACAAACTAATACAAAGTGTTAAAGAGCCAAAAATAACAAGAAAAGAAACAAAGAAAAGAAAAATGAAAATATTTACAAAAAATAACAAAAAACATACCTTCAAAGGGTGAACTAGAAGACCGAAAAAAGCTACATGTCCTCTATTCATAGTCTAAGTCGGAAGTTTACTTCCGTGTCATCAAAGACAAAGTCCTAATCTAAGGGCTTAACATTATCCGGAAAAGATTCCGGTTAGTTTCGCAAAAAAAAGAAGTGCAATTATTTACATACATTAGAAAGCGCGTAATACACGATACAGTACAGACCAGACCCAACCTGACACAAAGCAGTCCCAAAGCAGTCCCGGGGACTGCTTTCTTGGACTGCGAAAGCAGTCCCACAGCAGTCCCAGTGCAGTCCCACAGTGGTCCCAGAGCAGTCCCAGCAGTCCCAGCGGTCCCAGAGAGCAGTCCCAGTAGTCCCAAAAAGCAGTCAGAGCAGTCCCAGTGGGCGGGGTTTATTAATTTAATCGGCGGAGCTAACTCAGAAATGAGATTTGCAATAAACAATGGAACTATAAAAGGCAGTAGAAATTGGTTCTATGTAGTATGCCAGGACTCCTTACATGTATACGAAGGTCATTTATGAACAGTACGCGCATAGAAACAAATTGAATGATTATTTATTGAAGGAAGAATGGTTTCACACGTACATGTATGAATTAAATTGAACATGATCATTTAATCACAATTATCGGGTGTATTAAATTAATAATTCAATTTCTTTATTTTCTGAGATTTATACTGTTTCCCATTTATTTTTTATACAGAAAATTAAAAGTGAATTAATTATTTTCCACCAGTAAGAATTAACTTTAAATAGATCTCATCATCATATGGCCAATTTCCATACTATCGGGATTTTAGAAAATTCTTTGTTAATTTTGCCAAATATTATTTTTTAGTCATGATTATTTTTACTGACATGTCAATTTAATTATTGTTAATTTCTCTATCTCTATAATACTCAGTTTTAAGTGTTTTATTTGTAAATGTTAGAATGTACATCTCTAAATCACCAGAATTGAACCATCAGATTATGTTCAAAATTAATTAATCCTGAAAGAAATTCATACACATTTTATTGATCAATTTAATTTTTGCATTATATACCGGTATATTGAAATTAGGGTCATTGTTGACCAGCATGTTCAATGATGTGAAACGCTGATACGTATACCCAAATAACATGTGCTGACTTTCTGCCCTAAGGCGATTGAAACTATGGGTGTTGATACCATGCAATAAACATTAATCGGCCAGGTACATGTAAACACAAGCAAAAGAAAAAAGAAATAAATCACAATTTCCGGTATTTCTTTATTTATAAAATCAATGTTCTCTTTTGAAAACTTGTTTATAAATTAAAAACTACCGGTAATTCATTAATAAATTCCCCGATGATTATTCAAATAGTTTGAGTTATGGAAGAATGGTAGCATAATTTTATTTCATGGTCATTTAATAAATGGTTAGGTTTTATTTTAGGGTTGCATGGGTACTTTTCTAGAGTGGTGCTCGTAAAACATGAAGCTTTTCAATAAAAAATAATATATCTAACTGTATAATGATTATTTTTAAATAGTGTCCATTCAAATGTTCAGTGCACATAATTTAACAATAAAAAATAAAATAGACCTACATGTAGATATTTTTTCTCATAAACCTGTAGTTTATTTTTAGGGATAAAAATCTACTTCTGACTTCCTTACTTAATAACGTTATTAAAAAAAAAATTCTTACTACAAATGAGTAAATTTACAGTCTCTGAAAATATTTATTAACTATTAATAATCTCTTCTAAGAAAGAAATCTTGCTTTTTAATAGTTTAAACTCCTCTCTGCTGCTAGTAGACAAAACAACTGGGAGTCTGCAAATTCAGAATACACAAGGGGGCGGAGCTATCATGTCACTCAGAACTTCTTTCACGCATGAGTGAACAAAGCAGTCCCAGAACAGCTGGGTCTGCTGGGATTGCTGGGTCTGCTTTTTAGAGCAGTCCCAGGGCAGTCCCAAAGCGGTCCCAGAGCAGTCCCAAAGCAGTCCCGGGGACTGCTTTCTGGGACTGCTTTGGTGTCAGGTTGGGTCTGGTCGGTACTGTAGTTACATTATTTGTGAAGGAAAAAAGTGTGAATAGCACATATAGCATTGTTATCACTGCCTAATAAGAACCGTTCTATAAACAGTTCGGTTTAAATGAAGCAAGAGTGGGGTGGGGGTGGGGGTGGGGGTGTTATCATATATACAAAAAAAATAGAAGAGAAAAAAAAACACACACACACAATAAAGCTCAACTCTGTAAAAAAAAGAGTTGAAAGTTTTAAACAATCAATGATTAAATATCAACATTGTCATTCTACATGTTCTCAGTAATATTGCATAATTTTGAGGCAATTTAATGTTGCTGCAGGAAAAGCTAGGGAGTTTATACACATCATATGCACAATCACTGACTAGTGTGTCGGAGAACCACGTCAGTCAGAAGGATTTCCAGGATTTCGAATTGACGACCACCAATGTGCTTCGCTTGAAAGCCCCAGATAACAACCGTCATATTTTTGATTATAAGATTCTTGTTCGCTATTAAACTTTTTCAGTTTAAATTTGGAATTTCCTCTGGTGAGATGTTTTTATATATTTCACTTCAGTGTATCGCATTGTGTCAAACGAAGGGTCATTAATGACTATCTATACTACTCTATTTTAAAGATGTAAAAAATTATTATTATACTCGTAAACTGTTTTCATTAAAGGTTTGCTACAATCTATATCTAATCATAGACCTTATAGATAATTTTAAAAGTTCTATTTTCGTATTTTTTTAACTTATAAAACTTGGTATTATACTTTTGCCTTAATTCAAATCTTAGAATAATGATTAGAAAAAAAACAAGTTTTTTGTAGCCTTCAGTGCAGTGCAGTGCAGCACGTATAGATGACTTTACTCAGCGTCTGTCTGTCAGTCTTCCGACCGTCTGTCCGTCTGTTACACCTTATATTTTGAGAAGTGAAAGAGGTATGGATTTAATATTTTGCACATATATAACTTGGTATTATGAATACACATGAGCAGAGAAGATTAAAAAAAAACAATGATGCATATACATTTCTTACTTATCATACCAACAAGCATTAATCTGAACTCATCATTGCGGAGCCACAAATATGACAATTCTAGAAGATGCACAATATGGTTTTTAACATATTTTAAAGGAAAAACATGTATCTAAAAGTAAATGACAAACAGTCGATAGGCAGTTTAATCATACTAATTTTGGTTAAACAAAACTTAATTAATCAAACTGATATAACAGCAATACAAATTTCAGTGAATAAATGATTCTTACCGACAGGAATTTCACAATTTTTCCCTTTGTACAATTTCGAACATGTACATATATGATTGTATTTTCCATTTTGACAAACACCACCGTTTTTACACGGCGCTGCACTACAGTAGTCGGGGGGAACCTCACAAGTCTCACCAGTGAAACCATTGTTACAGTCGCAGCTGTAGTTTCTAACTAAGTCAATGCAGCGGTGGCCATTGCATGGATTTGGGATACACTGGTCGACATCTAAAATCGAAAAAGACTTATCTTATCTAAGCTTTTTTCCTTAGTATTTGAGAATGAAAAACCTATAATACATTATATATTATCTCTTATAAGAATTTTATAATATATGATTTATAAAGTATTTTGAATGAAATTTTTGATTGTGTATGTTAAGTTTCGATAGAATAAATAATGACTTTTTATGAAAGTTTTCTCTGTATTTGACTCCGTATACATTAATTAATTTATCCTCGCTACAACTCACTGTCACATTGGCTTGGCGTTTTAATGCGTGAGTTATCAATTGATGTCCAGTCAATGTTACTCAATGTAACAAACGTATCATTCCCGAGGTAACTACATGACGATGCATGTAGAAGAATCTCGTCTTCAGAAGGAATATTTGGAGTAATCTGATACCCAGATATAGAAATGTCTACGAAAAAAAGAGAATATTAAGATAAGTTTGACAAGAATTTTAGAAGCGGTGTCTATTTGTGAAGTTTGATTAAATATCAATTTCATTTGTCGGTAAATATTACAGTTTATGCATTAAATTTAAAACCACATTTACAAAAAATTATACAGAAATTAGAATTGATAAAAAACGTTCATTTCCCTAGCTGTTGTAAGAAATAATATGATACATGTAGCTAAGTGTAACGAAAAAATGTATGTTCTTAAGAAAACAATAGATCAAAATTCTATTTTGCTAGAGAATGAGGGATTCTCCGATTCGATGACTTTTCTGCATAAAGAAATGTTAAAATTCAAAGGAAGTATTTAAAAAATCGTAAATATATAAAAAAATATATCTTGCCTTTTTATTATTTCATTACCTGTTGATGGGTCCTCATCAAGAACTACATCAAATCTTAAGTCCGGTCCAATCAAATTGGCATTTCTATGGCAGGGAAGTTGTTTTTGAGAATTTCTGATTCCATTTATATAGACACTAATTGTGTTTCTTTCTGTGCTCATGATAATTGCTACATGATGCCAGTTTTGAGTGTCCTTCGAAATATCCAGACTCACTTTGTATCTTTAAATTTAATATATATGATTTTGAAGCGAATCGTTGTAAGAATAGGAACTTGTATTTTATACTGGTTTTAGCGAAGGATTTTCAAATGTAAAAAATCTTTTCAAATATCAAAAAATATAAATAGAATTCAAAATGTAAGGAAATGAAACTTAATCACGCAAAATATCAATATATGTCGACAATTAAGAACCTTACTATACAATTTCAACGCCAAAAATTCAAATGTCCAATAACTGTGGTGTTCTACGTGGCACCGGATCCTATTTCTTTTGTTTTAGAGGTGTGAGTGGCTTCGCTCCTGATTTTTATTTTCAATGGATATTGAGCATAAATACTGATCGCTTTATCCTTATTTGTCATGTTCATTTTATTCAATTAAACGTAATATAGGGAAATGTCAATTTTTTCCTATATATTTAATGGTATATGTTTAAGTAGGACATAAACATGATAAAACAGGACATGTGTCCATTTCTCGGGAACCAGGTTATGAAATATGACGTATTACTTACATGTAAACTATATAAGCAAAAAAAAAAAATACATTGTACTAGTGACCACAAAAGCTTCTTTAAGAAGACATGTGTTTTCTACGTTGTAAAACACCTAGCTATGCCCTGATTATGACCTGTTTAAAATATCATGAAATACCATATTACAACGTCTCCATATGAATGAAAAATTCTCCAGAGGGACTTTAAACAAAATACAATCAATATACCATATTACACATGTTATTGCATCTGTTTAGCAATTGTAGATTCGGTATGTCAATAATTTAGAAACATTAAGAAGACGGTCCAGATATTTAATAAAGTGATACCCGTTGATTTCCACCAAGACAGTTTCTCCGTATGTAATCTTCAAATCAGAGGAACTTGACTTTCCATGCAACAACACCAAGCTAGAGTTGTGATTCTTAATCCATGTGAAAAGTGCAACACTTTTTGAATCGAATACTTGACTACCATCTAAAGAGATGTCATCCCCTCTTTTCACAAATGTAATATCAAAATCTGTAAGGAAAATAAGAACCTTTTCTAGCTGTCAAGAAAAGTATCCACCGGTTTTTATTGTTTTATCTTGCTTCAGATTTTTTTTGGTGTTTATCCGGGAGGATCCTTCAATATAACTTTGTAAATTTTCCTACTAATTCTTCACTTGCAAGAAAGTACAAAGTGTAAGTTTCAGGCAAAATCTGTTATACATTTTAGTTATGATATATGCTATGCCACACTTTTTCCTTTGCTTCATAAATCTAATGGAATGATATTAACATTGCATATAACGGAAATGAAACATGTTATCGATAAACTGTATCTTAAGAAAGTAATTATTTTTACTAATATTGTAAATTTTTTTAAATATACTTGTAAAGTAATTTTAAAAAATGTTAATATTATAAAATAAAAATTGCATGTTAGATATTTTTTAGAACTGAATCAAAGGCTGAGTTACAAAAAGGGTTTTCAATTGTCTTTCAAAAACAGGACTGATGGTATGGCGAATACATACCGGGTACTGGAAAACTGTTCCAGTTTTTATACAAACATTTTAATTTACCTGATCATTTAATTTTGTAAATGAAATTTGGAATTCTCGAAGATTTATCACCACACAAAAAGTCCGTCGCTAAGTACACCTTTCCGTAGACAACGAGAAGAATTTTGGATTAGAAAACAAGGGACAGTCTTTCCCTACGGATGCAATCACTATGTCGATAGTGTTGGAAATCTTTCCAGTCCACAGTGTAAATATGATAGTACTTTTTAACCATACACAGAGACGTAAGCGTAGTTGTGGCCATATAGGTCGCACAACAAACCTGCAATACACGACGTCTCTTTCGATTCATGTTATGTTTATCAATAGTTAGTTCTACATCATATTCGTACCAAACTTTATTCTGTCCCTTTGAAACTTTTAAATAGTCTTCTTGAAAAGGTGAAGGCGAATCCAATTTTTGATTCCTCGACACGAGAATATAGACTCGAATCTGTGATAATGGATGTTGCACATCATAGGCTTTTTGCACCCGCACGTTTTACAAGAGAAAATGCAGCTAAAACAATCCGTCTTTTCCTTAAGCTTCAATGTGCCAATAAAGGAACTGACGCGGTTTATATATGTTATATTCTTAATCACAAAAAGGTCTAGTCTTGTATTCCACCATATTAAAAGCTAAAGACTACACCTTGTATTTCCTATAAATAGTCATCGATCATTGCTTCTAAACTTTTCAATTACAAGAAAACTTTACATGGCCTGGAAACCGAGTATCTGAAACATAATCCTCCATCGTATTCATGTTCTCCATCGCCCTATAACGAAAGACCTGCTGGGCAAGTCATTACAGGTGATATAGTTAGTAATTATGACCACTTAAACAAAAGGTCCTAAATATAGGGAACCCTAATCCTTCAACTGGCATCGGAATTTCATAAATAGTATGGATTTTGTTTAAAATTACACCAGGAGATATAAAAAGATATGAAAAAGAAGACGTTGACTCCTTGTCAGAATGGATTAAATGTATCAGATCCATGTTAAAGTCGCGTTTTAAAAGATTGAGGATTAGAAGATTAGATATTAGATTACATGATCAGTACGTAGTGGTCCCTGCCGACAAAGCAGGTAACAAGATTGTCTTCGTTTGTAAGGCTCGTTGTATAAATTGTGTTTTAGAAGAACTTTGATTTAATTCTATGAGCGGTAATCTTACTTATACTCATACTTCCCTTTCTAAGGAATAGATTCTTCAAATTCATTTGTCAGTTGAAAATATTTTATAATATTCCACAGAGCAAGTTAATGAAACAAGAATATAAGCAGTCTCGTTTAAAGTCATTATTTCGCAAGTTTTATGGTCCATACAAATGACCTTGTCATCAAATACAGTTTATCAAATTGAGTCAAATACCACTGACGTTTTTCATACCAATTGTTAGTCGATTATTTATACACTGAATTGACGACGGATTTTTCCGTTATTTCCTGATCATGACAAGGAGCACACGGCGGGATCGGTCAACAGGAGATGCTCACTGCTCCATGGCAACTGATCCCACCTCTGATGTTTCGGAAATCCGTGTTTGCTCTGCTTCTATTTTGTATTGTTTTATGGACATTTATATTGAATACTGTTCGTTACCTTCATATCCTTCTTCCATATATGGTCAGAGGTAAAGTTACTTTGTCAATCACCGTAAGTTCCAATGCATATTTTCGACAAAGGAGCAGCAAATTTGTCGGATCAATATAAGTTTAATCTTTCCTGGCCCAGTGGTTCTTGAGAATTTTTTTTTAACTTTTTCCCCTATATATTTCTTGCGTAAAACTTTGATCATCAATTGTGGCCCCGCCCCATCCCCGGGGGTCATGATTTGAACAAACTTAAATCTACACTACCTGAGTATACTTTTACATTTAATCTTTCCTGGCCCTTTGGTTCTTGAGAAGAAGATTTTAAAAGATTCTTCATATATATCCCTATGTAAAACTTTGAAAATCAGTTGTGGCCCCGGGGGTCATGATCTGAACAAACTTGAATATACACTACCCAAGGATATTTCCATATAAGTTTCATCTTTCAGATCCAGTGGTTCTTGAGGTGAAGATTTTTTAAGGATGCCATTATTTTTTCACGAATTCTTAATTATCTCCCCTTGAAAGAAGATAATTCCCTTTATTCTAATAAACGTGAGTCTTCTCTACCCAAGGATACTTTGTGGCAAGTTTGGTTGAAATTGGTTCAATAGTTCCTGAGAAGAAGTCGAAAATGTGAAAAGTTTACAGACAGGCGGACAAACAGACAGATGGACGCCGGACAAAATATGAGCAGAAAATCTAACTTGAGCCTTCGGCTCAGGTGAGATAAAAAGCACACAAAACACCATATTTAAGTTAATGAACCATATTTGCAAGAGGTGTAATTTTTGCTATTGTAATTCATTATTTATTCAAAGTAACAAATACCGATAAAATTTACTTGCCAAAAATTTAGCACGCTAGCATTTATCCCCTACCTCGTCCAAATTATTATCAAATCTAACTGATGCATTGTTTGAAGGCGATCCTACACTGTAGCTACTTATGAATACGTAGAGGAATATTAATTTTTTTATGTTTTGGCAAAAAATGTACGTACCCACACATTTATTTACAGAGTCACTTTTAGGGTGTGATGTTTTTCCAAGAGGGCAATGCTTGCAAGTTTTTGACATCTTTATGTTACTATATGTTCCTCTAGGACAAATATTGCATGGGAATAAGCCATTGACGGAAAACTCTCCAATGCCACACATGTCTGAAAAAAAAAAAAACATAAAACATACATTGATCTACATGCATATTGTATATAAAATGAAAATTTCTGTGTAATACAAATACCTAAACATTCTGACAAAGATTCAGCTCCATCATCCAGGGTAAATGTATCACTTGGACATGGTGTACACGTGGCTGTGTCTTCTGAATCTTTATAAGATCCCTTCGGGCACTTTCTACATATAGACTGTGAGGGGTCTGATTTATCAAGAAAGGCGCCAATAACACACGGGACTAAATAAAACAATATCATTTTATGTTAATGTATACTGAATTTAAGAAAAGAAAATATCATTTTCTTGAAATTTTGCAAAATAAATTTCAATTTCGATACCAATGTAATTTAAGGTTCTAACTATGATTCACTCAGTAATGGATTTACCACAATGCATTGTTCTCTGTTTTATTGCTGTTCCCTCTGGACATTCAGGCTCGCTTAAACCAAATGAAAAGGAATCTATATCTGGATACAATCCACCCACATTTAATTTTCCATTTACTGCATCATCTTTGATTTGGTCAGATATTTTTCGTTGAGTGTGTTCCATGTAGTGAAAAGTTTCTTCCGAAGAATCATAATGGAGCCAAGAAGTCTTCACAGAAAAGCTAACCCTTATTTCGTATGTACTTCTCCTGTAAAGGTCGTGTGGAATACCATGCATTTGTTTATCTGCTGATCGTCTACGTTTTCCCCTAATTGGTCCGCATTTTACTTCTGTGTTTTCAACGTTGCATGTAGTGTTGCTTGTACAGATACCTGCAAATCCAGTCTTTTCTTCCTTTTCCATTAAATTTACAAATTTTTCTTTTATTTGGGCACGTGTTTCCTCATCATTACAGTCTCCAGTAAAATAGGAAAATTCAATTAGGAGACGGCTAAATTGGATCTTTCGTACTTCTGCAGTAGTAAAAAGTTATAATTTTACGGACTGTTTAGAAGATCAAGTAACAAATCAAAATTGTTTAATTATACTTAAATGTAAAGCTTAAGGGAACAACAGAAAATCAAATCGGTCAAATATAATTACCTGTACAATTTGGAACAATGCTGGTTGGAAAGTATTGGCCAGTTTTGAGTGAACATTTAAACTGGCCATCAAAATTAGAACTTCCAAAATCAGTTTTGACTCCATACGGAATATCGTATTTTTCCTGACACTGCATTGCACATAATTGACCTAATAGCCATTTCGGACAAATTAATGCACCGTTTTCTGGAGGTGACAACGGATTACATGGGTTTGCTGTAAAAACGGTTAAATGCAAACGAACTGAACACAATTATAATGCTGTTTCTGTTCAATGCTAAAAACAATGTATATTTATAAAAAAGTTGTGATTTAGTTTACTTACTTTTGCAATAAGGTACTTCAGCGCCATAATCCCAGTATGCCGTTACAACCGACCCGGTTTTATTTTGTTCACACGTCATTATGTTATTTCCGACCAACGGAAAGTCTCCAATACAACTGAATTCACAATACGATCCATAACCGTATCCATTGAGGCATTTGTAATTTAAATACCGTTTGGATATAATTGGAGGAGTACAGGTTAACTCTGTAAAATAGGAAAAAAATGTATCGTTTCCAGCAGACATCGGATGAATTTTCAGAACATAACATTTTATTGGTCAGAAATGTTGTATCATGATATTTTTATTTCGAAAGAAAACTAATACGAGGCCATACGATATGTACACATCGAATATAGAATATATCATATTTATAACAAACAAGATTCAGTAGATCACTAGAAAACGGTTTAGTATATTTAACCTATGTATACAAAAAGGTTACACGGGCCTTTTTACATTACAAAAGTTTGGAGCTCTAAATCTGTCTTGCTTCTCGACAACTGGGAATTACATATTTTATAATCATAAAAAAAAAAAATATCTTACTTAAAGATATCTAAGAACAAAAAAAAAAAAATGGAAAAAAATAAATTTAAAAGTATGCAGCTTAGACTGGGCACATATCCCTTTAAAATGTCTACAGGCATTTGGAAAACACAGGACGAGACACACCATCGAGTCAAAGCAACATCTTTTCAGCTACAATAATTTATGTTATAATTTGTTCATTCCTTAACTAAGAAATATATTTAACTTTTTCCGATAAAAAAGTTATTAAAGTGATTTTGATTTGATTTTCCAAACAAAAAATATCATATAGATATGGCATGTAGATGAGTGTAACATTGACAATTGTCACCCCAAGAAAACCACTGTCAACTGAGGTTTTTAATGTTACTCTCAACTACATGCAATATTTATTATATTGTAGTGAATGTTTTATACAAAAACATATAACAGTGAACTGTGCACGCATAAATTCTGTGCAGTCGCCATTTTTTTTTATCACCAGTCGTAAACTGGTAAAGCAATGCTGACTTTTGCTACGCTGGCGGGTGTGGTTTCATTATTCAGCGGGCGGGTAATCGGTCTTTTAACAAATGTTTCTCGACTAATCAGTATCAGCGTATTTACATGAAAGTATAATATTATGCAACGTGAACCTGCAATGCTTGATACAACGTGAATTCCTCCTAATTTTAAGTTAATTACATCAATCATTATATCATAGCACGGGGAAAATTGAGGAATTTCATCCTTCGTGTAGAAATTGAATTGGGACACCTGGATTACCTTTATGCAGGAGATTGACGTTCATGTTCACATGTTGGCTATTTTATGTTAAGCTTGCGAAATATAAGGAAGATTACATGTAATTATTGTTATGCCTCTAGTTGGGAATATAACACAAGCTCTACCTCTAATGATTTTTCGATGAAAAAAAAAGATGTTTAAAGTTGCTTTAATTTTGCTATTATAAGAGCATGGAATATTTCCAGTCATTTGAAATTTCATACGCATTCAATATTGCGTGATTGTTCTCTAAATAATTATCATAAATGTGCACTAATTAGCTTACCAGATGACAGTTGGCATTAATTTATTCCAGTCCTAAAAGATATTTGGAATCTAATTTTATGAGATGGACATAGCAATCGGCAAAAGATAAATGCGATTTTTTTTAAATATAGCACGTTCTCGTTGAAAAGCAATTTCACCACAAAATAATTTCTCAGGATTGAAGAATGGTATGTTTTAAACGAAAACCATTTCATATCAAAATTTGAAATAAAAAAATTCTGAAAAGTGAAACATTTCTAATTTTGAATTTTGCTTTGCACTTCCTGAAAATTCCAGACAATAGAGAATGCACAATATTCTATTGAAAATGTAACATCCCGGAGCTACTTTACCTCTGTCATTAACTTTATAAAGGAAATTTATCAACAAAAACTATTAAATGTATTACTCCTCTGCTAAATAATCAAATGAATGTGCAGTTAAAATATAGAATTATGAAATTACTGAAAAAAAAAACAGAGTCTGATTTTTATAAGCTACATGCACGTCCTTTTTATGCTTCTAAAGGTTGAATTTGGAAGTTGTACATTAACGCATACAGTTACCTGTAATATGTATATTGAATGTGCAGTTTGGAGACACATTTCCTTCTGCGTCAGTTGCAGAGTAAACAATTAAATGTGACCCAAGGGCAAACAATGAATCTGATTTTTTGCCTTCTATCTGTATAACAGTGGCGTTTCCGGAGTTATCAAATGCAGTGGGTTCATGCCACGAAATACTAGATGGTTGACCGTTTCTCTCCGCATTAGCATATATGTCCTCGGGGCAATCACTTATACTGGGTTTTTGGATATCTATATAAACATATGAAAAAAATTTCAAAATTTTTTGATATACAATCACCTAAAAACTGTTAAGAGAAAACAATCATCATTTTTTAGGTACTTAAATAGAACATTTCAAAATACCAAAGCCTAGTTTCCTGTTTTTTTTTAAAATGTGTTTGCATTTAAATGAAAATTCTATACATCTTTCTAAGAAATTCTGTAATTTAAAGAAATTAAACGGAATATTAAGTTTAATCTGGAGCAATTTTGCTTGTGTATCATAGAAAAGTTTTAAAAAGAGATTTATACAAATTCAATCATGTTATCAATTTTTTCGAAATGTTCATCGTTTATATACCTATGCATCCTGGTAGATGGTTCGACCACTTTTTATTAGATTGGCATTCAATCTTGTTTTCTTTTAGAACAGTATAACCACTTTCACAATGTGTAGAACACACAGTTTTGTACGAGTAGTCAGAGGAGGAGCACAACGCTTTTCCATTTGCTGGATGTAAGGCAGGATCATTCCGCGGGCAGGATATTTCTAGCAAAATACAGAGGGAAGTACTTGTATGGAATTTTGATTAATTTGGTGAATTTACGCTTTTGCATATTGTTATACAGCTCAAACTACTTTTTAACCTACCATTTAAATATTGACAGATAACACCCGACGTAAGCCCTGTGTACATGTATTGATCAGGAAAATGGAACAATTCGTCGAATTTAGTACAAAACAAAGTCCTTATAATTGGTATGAAGCACGACAGTCAAAATATGATCCAATGATACATTTTAGGTTAGTATTTTTCATCAAGTCATCAAGTGCGCAGGGGTAATAAGGAAGCATACAAAATATCCTACCTTGACCAAATCAGTGCTACATTATGACGTCATAGTAGGCAAGATGACGTCAATTTTAGAACACAACTTTTCGTAATATTGGTATTAAGAGATGTTATTTACCTATAGAAAATGAATAGAAACGTCGAAACATTAACAAAAATAAAATGTTTATTTTATTATGCTGTATCTGTCATTTTGATTAAAATCTACCACCGATGACGTCATATATGTACATCAAGTAACTTGGGAATTGATCATGTCGTGTAAACAGAATTTGGCTAAGACGGCATGTACAAAGATACGTAAAATGGAGTTTAAAAGCTAAAATCGTGAATATTATGTGAAATTCATATGGAGTTTAGTTACTTAACCAGGCATGCTAATTTATTTTCATTGATTAAATTCCCTTTCGAAGACAGTCAGCTATATACGCATCCCGGTCCGCCTTTCCTCTGTCATTCGTGATAAAAATAATGCAAAAGATCAACAATAAGCTGAATATTTCAAAACATAAGATTTGTACAGATGGACAGTTTGCCTTTTGACAAACTCAAATGATTTCACGAAAAATCTCGGTTCATATGTATAAAATTTAAAACATAGGGCAAAGTTTCGTGCGAATTTGTGGAATATTTTTTTTACTGTCAGGACATTGGAATTCTAGAAGCACTTTTTAGGCAAAATAGATATTTTTCAACTATATTATTTACTCAAAGAAATTATAAACTTCAGGGTATTGTTGTTCTTTTAGCCTTTTTATGAGGGAAATTTTGCTATAAATAGAAGTCACGTGATGCCGTGGCGGTGGTGCATGTCTTTGCGTTAGACACTCTTTTTTCTATATGCAATATTTATATAAAAATTTACGTTTATCAGCGGTTTGATAATTTATCAAACTAAATTTTCTTCAAAAAGTCTAAATTTTCCGAAAAATGACTTATATGCTTCCTTAACATACCCGCGTGGTTTAAATATGGCTCAAAGGCAACAATATGTACCAATATTGCTGTTGGCAAAGAATACATACCAATGCACGAAGATATGTGCAGTGAGGTACAAATACCTTCACAATCCTTAAGAAAACAATGTAATTCTAGAATTAAGTAACTTCGTTTTTACCTTGGCATGAGTTTGGGCTTTCACTGTGGATTCCAGATACTCCGTTTGTTTCACATGTTATAACTTGTTCATTGTTGCTTCTTATGGGCAGCATTTCATGTCCTTCCTTACATTTTATTCTACATGATGATCCGTAAATGAACTCCCCGTCGCATGTCATTATGCTATTGACTGGTGGTTGTATAGGGTGACAAGAGATCACTGTAATTTTTCATATTATTTGTACTATTTAAACATTAATACTACGGTCAGTTATTATGGTTTAAATAATTGCATTTTAAAAGTGACCATGTTTTCGCCATTACTCTACAATTTTGACGGAAACTATTTTCATAGAAACTTAGGATAATTTCAAAACTTGAATTTGTGTAAATTATAAGTGCTGTACGAAATAGGCTTAACCTGATATTTCAACAAATTTTCCAGGTATACTTGTATTCCAACTAATGAATGAAAAAATAATTTATGATATGTCATTGTTTTCCAATGTGACATGTATACATTTGTCGTCGATATTAGTCTATTACACTCTTTGAAATTAATATTGGACACTTTCAAATATTTCGACTGCAAATATTTGATAAGAATGAAATGTTTATGGCAGGATTTTTTTTCATTATTAATGTATATACTTCTACTGTTCTAGCCAAGCGCTCGGCACTAAAGTGAAAGTCACGGGTCTTTCGGATATGACCTTAAAAACGTAGGTCCCGTGTCACGGTAGGCGCTGGCACGATAAAGAACCCTCACTGCTCA